ATTATTATTATTATTATTAACTACACTTTATGCGCGTAGTAGCGGTGCGCATCTTAAGGTTAATAGTTGAGACACGTTGATTAATCTTTCTTTCTTCACTGACCGTTAAGGTGTACGGAGGTGTAGTGCTTGCGAAGCTATGATGGGGAACGATTTTTTATAAAATTTGGGCGGATATTCGACTTTCTTCCTCACGTTATCGTGATAGGTACCGCTCTGTTCGAAAAAGTTTGTAGTAAAGTAAAAAAATAAGTAGTTATGCAGTTTATTATACAGTGTGATCTTGATCACATGGACTTTAACATGGCATGTAAGTATTAAGAAGATACAAAGCATTTAACGCATGTAGCTACTCTAGTTAGTTCTATTTAACTCATACATTTATAATAGCTTATAATTCTTCCAGTAAGTACCTATAGAGTAATTATCTTGGCATATTCCTATATATTTTTTCTTAGATAACGTTATTAGCCTGTTATAACCATCTACTGATAAGCGCTGAATGGATCACGTGACGGCGGCGGTAGAGCCCTAGCGGGGCTAAAGATCTACTACCCTGCATGGTAATTGTCTGGGCTAGGGGGTAAATAATAATAAGATCTGGAACCAAGAGAAAGTAGCTGTGATACCAATAGTAGTAGGGGCCACGGGAGAGATACAAAATAAATTGCATGCGAATCTAGAGAAATTATACTTACCACAGAAACTTTAGCTCCAATTAGCTATCCTGGGGACGTGTCATATAGCCCGCAAGGCGCTGAATGTAGGGACCTAAAACGAAAATTTAAATCAGACACTTGCAGTAAATGCCGTGCTGAAGATACTTACCTGAAAATAATAATAATAATAATAATAATAATAATAATAATAATAATAATAATAATAATAATAATAATAATAATAATAATAATAATAATAATAATAATAATAATAATAATAATAATAATAATAATAATAATAATAATAATAATAATAATAATAATAATAATAATAATAATAATAATAATAATAATAATAATAATAATAATAATAATAATAATAATAATAATAATAATAATAATAATAATAATAATAATAATAATAATAATAATAATAATAATAATAATAATAATAATAATAATAATAATAATAATAATAATAATAATAATAATAATAATAATAATAATAATAATAATAATAATAATAATAATAATAATAATAATAATAATAATAATAATAATAATAATAATAATAATAATAATAATAATAATAATAATAATAATAATAATAATAATAATAATAATAATAATAATAATAATAATAATAATAATAATAATAATAATAATAATAATAATAATAATAATAATAATAATAATAATAATAATAATAATAATAATAATAATAATAATAATAATAATAATAATAATAATAATAATAATAATAATAATAATAATAATAATAATAATAATAATAATAATAATAATAATAATAATAATAATAATAATAATAATAATAATAATAATAATAATAATAATAATAAATATAATAATTAAAATACTGAATAACGTGTAATGTATTTAAATAGATTGAAAACAGCATCACTATATCAGAATAATATCAGTGTATCTGATATGTAGGTCTGTAATGTGATGTGTTAACGCCTGTTGACGTGCATTAATAATTGGTTCTATTTACAGGCACCACTGATACAATCAATCAAGCTGGAATAACTTATTATAAGAACCTCATCAAAGAATTGAAAGGTAATGGTATAGAACCTTTCGTAACTCTGTTTTACTCGGACCTACCACAAACACTTCAAATGCAAGGAGGATGGATTGACAGCTTCATTATAGAAACTTTCGCCAACTACGCACGGCTCTGCTTTGAACAGTTCGGAGACGATGTAAAGTATTGGTTGACGTTCAATGATCCTAAACAGCTTTGCTTGTATGGTTACGGGACCGGTACTATGGCGCCGGGGATCCAGGAAGCTGCCATATTGGATTACAAATGCTCTTATATCGTCATCAAAGCCCATGCCACAGTTTGGCACGTGTATGATGAAGAATTTAGATCTAAACAAAATGGTACTATGTATACTATTATTTTCAATGAGTAGGCTAAATATTTGATTTACAGGAAAGGTATCTATTGCTATTGAAACTAGCTGGTATGAACCTAACGGCAATTCTACTGACAATCAGGAAGCAGCTGAAAGAAAACTTCAGTTTACAGTACGTATGTACCTAAAATACACGGCATATAATATATGTGACAGAGCTGTAAGCGACGCAAAGCAGACTATCAGTTGTGCGCGTCGGACTTACGCTGAAATCTAGAACACAAGAAGATACGTAGCCGGTTTGTTAGTTCTGCTCAGGTGGACTCATGGTAGGCAGAAAATTTTGTACGTCGTCAGCTCAGTCGAAATCAAATTTGATTTGATTTCAACGCAGTCATTCAGTTGAGCTCACATCGTACAGTGCTAAAAAGCGTTTATTTTTAACGAATTTTAAAATGACAACCAAGTTTCCACCAGAGGAAGACGAGAAATTAATCGATCTCGTATGACAATATCCTCCATTGTATACCGTTCCTTCCAAACGTGTGTTAGAAAACATTGATCTTCACTTTTATTTTGACGACAACTAATTAAATTCAAAAGAAGATCTTTTTCATGCTCTTCTTCCTCAATAAGTATTGTCACCAAAAAATGTTCAGCCATTGTCATGATAAAAATAAATTTTGCCACAGTAATAATAAATAATTTCGTCTGCATTTACCAGCATACAATCAGAAGCACTAAATCTAACAAAACACTCTCCCTTCAAAACCGATAAAGTTGAACGCTACAGATTCTGCTAACAGCGTATGTCGTCTGCAACGCACAGTTCTAACAAACCAAAGCTTAAGGTGTTCTACTAATTTATTGTCTTATAAAGGATCTCGAAATAACACTAAGGGTTTACCTCAATGTTCTTTCTAACGGAGGTACTGGGCCCCAACGAGGTACCTAGAGATTTACTAGACGTCAGGCCCTATGATTTGATGTTAAAATGGATTTTTTTACTACAACAAGACATCCAGAAACAGAGTGGGCATCTGTTTTCTTTTAAAATTTTGACAGTGTATCAAACTAAAAAATATGTTTTTAGATACTCCACTGAAGATTTTTATTTAAAAAATGTAGTTCTGATTTATTTTTATAAAATAAACGGGTTAAGAGATAAATTGGTTTTTGAAATGGGCAGGGACAATTAGAATTAATTATTTTGAATATTTTTTCATTCACTTAGTTTATTTAATTTTGATAAAATTAAAAAATATTAGAAATAGGTTGATCACACCTTAAGAACCATTCAACGTTTACCGAGGTCACGGGCGCATATCTAAAATAAACGAAGTTTTAAATAGATGCTATTTTTACTAGTGGTGGCGCAGCATAAACTACTTCACATTTTAGTAAACTAACTATCGGTGTCATTGTGCAATAAAATATACATGTCTGCCTCTAAAGCTTCGCATCGATCAATTTATTCAAAACGTATCTAGCGGCACCCTAATGCCTGCAGTTGAGCGTGCATTTCATTGTCTTTTGTGCGTGTGTGAGTTTGACGTTTTACTTGGTCGAGTGTATGGCACATGTTTTTTTGACAGTCAGTAGAATTGTGTATCGTGAGTATAGAGAGGCACAAGGCTTGAAAATAGATTTATTTTTTATTTAGATAATATTTCTGCTACTACAGCGCGTATTGTCGATTACTTTTATACAGGGTGGTCCAGATTTTAATAGACAAACTTGGAGAAAGTACTAAACAACAAAAATTAAACATCACTTTGCTCTATGAACATAGGCGCAGAAAGCCACCGTTTATACAAAGCATTGAAATTAACAAAACTGAAATAATTTTTTTAACTATCTAGAAAACCGCTTCATCAAATTTATCCAAATTTGGTACACATTTTTTTTCAAATATTTCTCTAGTTCTATATGCACAGACCAAATTCAAAAACCAGTGGCGGAGAAACAAGGATATCGTTTCCTTATTTAAAGTAAAATTTGTGCGCCACTGAATTAATTGGTAATACGGGTAGTCCAGATTTTAATAGACAAACTTCTGGAAAGTACTAAATTACAAAATTTAACATCACTTTGCTCATAGGCGTAGAAAGCCACCGTTTATGAGATACAGGGTGTTAAAATTAACAAAAGTAAAACTATTTTTTTTAATATCTGGAAACTCGCTTCATCAAATTTATCCAAATCTTGTAGACACACAGTCTAAATTCAAAAACCAGTGGCGAAGAAACAAGGATATCGTTTCCATATTTAATGTAAAACTTGTACATCACTTATACTTTGATTCTTTGTTATGAAATCGGCCTTTTCCCTAATTCAGTGCCATATATAAATTGTATGGTATGTTTTTCAGTGGATACTCGTTAACTATAGTCTTCTATTGGGTTACTTTCAGGCACCTGATCTAATTTGGCTTCATCATAGATAACCTACTCAAAATAAATTCTTCATTAGTAGATCATTCTGGCACCATAATAATGAAATAAATAAATTTGCTGCATCGTCTATAATTTGTTGAGCATATGTTCGCCTAAAAGTGGAGTTAGACATTTTCCAATTAATATGCTAATACCTAAATCTTTGTATAAGATAATACACAGAATTTGATTAACAACGGAAATGAAAAACATAGTTGGCGGACATCAAAAATGGCATTTAATATTGTTGTAAAGCATCCGTATTACTGTAATTGATTTAATTTATTTGTTTTTTATTTAACTTGTTGTTCGTGCTGAAAGTTGGGCCTGATATGTTTGGTATGATATTGAAAAATACCAAATTTGGATAAATATGATGAAGCGGTTTTCCAGTTATTTAAAAAAATTATTTCATTTTTGTTATTTTCAACGCCTTGTATCTCATAAACGGTGCGCCTATGTGCATAGAGCAAGGTGGGGTAATTTTTGTTGTTTAGTACTTTCCCGAAGTCTACTAAAATCTGGACCACCCTAATTTGTTTTATTTTTCCCTATTCCAACGCTTTGTTTACTTATATAATAATATATCTCATAACTCGAAAACCATTCACTTTTTGACAAAAATAAAATAATGATTTTTCATTCGGAATGTTTCAGACCGTTGTAAAATTTATTCAATGGCGTAGAAGTTTTACTTTAAATAAGGAAACGATATCCTTGTTTCTCCGCCACTGGTTTTTGAATTTGGACTGTGTGCATACAGAACCAGGAGAAATATTTGAAAAAAAGTGTATACCAAATTTGGATAAATTTGATGAAGCGGTTTTTCTAATATTAAAAAAAATTGTTTTATTTTTCTTAATTTCAACGCCCGGTATCTCATAAACGGTGGCTTTCTGCGCCTATGTTCATAGAGCAAAGTGATGTTAATTTTTGTTGTTTAGTACTTTCCCGAAGTTTATCTATTAAAATATGGACCACCTTTTATATTACTACTGTTTATTTATTTGATAGTAGCCACACAGTTTCCGATGTCTAATTATCACGAATCAGATTATATTTACGAGTGTAAAGTAAGTAATGTAATAAGTTTTTTTGAATGATAATACAGATAAAACAGATCGTTGTGTTCTCGAAACGTTTGATAAGTACCGATGCACTAAATGCTCCAAATGAGGTAGTACACAATCGTGCATGAAGCTCATTTTGCTTGAAAATATTTCATTTTAATCTTCTGCTTATTTCTCTTAAGCTATTTCAAAACTAAACTTTAGTTGTTGCTGCTCTTTAGTAATCGCTTTAATATTGTTTCAAAACCATCTTGGAAACCATTCGAAATAACTGAAAATTATGTTTTTTATAGAAAAATTTTCAGATTCTCTAAAGATAATATTTTCGCATTAAATTATAGGCACATCTATTGTATAAAACATCAAATTTTTATGAAAATATTTTCATAAAAATTTGATGTGGTTTTAAAGTTTGAACCTAATGTTTAGAGCCTGATATCTCCATTAGAAGGCACATTTGGAAAAAGTTATAGCAAGAGTAGTGTCACTATACTTTCGCGAGATTAGTAGATACTTATCGGAGACTTATATAGTGCTCCCTTGGTACATACAATTTACATAATACGTAAATGAACTACACTTTCTTATTTCAAATTTAAGAATAGTTTCTTACATAAATATTTGCTCTTAAAGCCTTTTTTTTCTAAATTATTTCCCAAATATTCGGGGTGGATAGTACATAAAAAATTAAAACGTCTTTCTATACATACTTTTTCCGAAAATGGATTAAAAGGGTGATATAAGTATCCGTTAAAAGTGGAATGGCTGGTATCACATCTTTAGCGATATCTTCACGACTTTCTTTGCGACTTTCGAGATATCTTATTTATATGAAAATTATGCTTTTACTTTTTCTTGTACTATCAGTCATGAAACATCCACCCTGCATAAGAATATTCTGAAACTAACAAATTCAGAAATTAGTGTTGATTTGAATTAATGCCGATTTTTTACTGATCTTTTTTTATAAATTTCATTTATAACAGTAGAGAAACGTCCAAATTTAAAACATTTTACGAATGATTAAATTAATTTTTATTAATAGAATAGGTAGATATATATTGTTTTTAATTACATATTTTTATTATTTTACTATCGTATTTAAATATGTCAAGTATATATTGTTTTCATAAATAAATTTTGAGTAGATTATTTATGTCTTATTAGATAATTATTAAACAATATTGTTGAAATGTAAAATGTTTAATAGATGTTACTGCAATATCGTTGACATTGAAGTTGCTTCTTAGTATGAATGTTAGTGTCAAAGAACATAATAATATACATACGTATAACCTCATCAAATGATAATTTTAGGAGCATTTTAATACATTTCAAAATTAAATAAGTATAAAAGTTACCATTAAAAACTTACAACTAAAAAGAGAATTTATTTAAAAGGGCAAATCCATTAGAATTGGCAGATGAAAGGACATTGACGTTCAAAAGTATCTCTGTTATATGTAACTAGCTGACCCGGCAAACGTTGTTTAAAAAATAAAAACAGAAAATTTTGTCCAAAAAATAAAAAAAAAATTTTGGGGTGGACCACCCTTAACATTTAGGGGTATGAAAAATAGATGTTGGCCGATTCTCAGACCTACTCAATATGCTCACAAAATTTCATGAGAATCGGTGAAGCCGTTTCGGAGGAGTACGGGAACGAACATTGTGACACGAGAATTTTATATATAAGATTTAGCATGTATAAATAGTCACAATTCAATTCCAGTTCTAAAAAAATCCTTAAAATGCAAATATTCGTCAGCTCTTAGTAAATCATTACGTGAGTTTATTTCTGTCAGAGGTTTTAAATATTTACCCTATTTAAATAACTAAATATGTCAGTTATAATATTTACAGAGATTATTTTAATTTTTTTTTTTATTTTTATTAATTGATATGTTGAAGTATTTATGACTCTGTTAATGAAACTGAATAAGGGAAGGCGCGATTCACTATCTTCGATATACACTATTTAATTTATCGTAGATATTGGACACTTGTTAATTGCTTAAATCAAAATAAACAAAAAAACTACTATCAAGTAACGCGTTCGTAGTAAAGAATTTCTTTGAATTGTCAAACAATTTAATTTCAGTTTGGTTGGTTTGGAAACCCCGTCTATAACAGAGATTATCCGGATATTATGAAGCAGCTTATAGGAAGTCGAAGCCAACGGGAACATCGCCGTACCTCTCGTCTCCCCGTATTTACAGACGAAGAATTAGAATACGTTCACGGCACTTACGATTTTCTGGGTTTGAATTCGTTCACTTCCGGCTTGATTGAAGAACCTAGAGAAGAACCGGAAGTAGCAAAACCAAACTACAATGACGACTGCGGAGTTGATGAAGTAGAAAACACCTGGCCAAGTTCTGGTTCTTCTTGGTTGAAGGTATGCAACATACTGTTTATGTTTTTGAAGACGATCCATTAGTTAGTGTCTACAGTGTGTCTCACCTCTTGCCTACTGGCATATTCAGTTCTTTTTTTTGTAAAAAATTCATTTTAGTTGATCGCGGACAGTACGGTTTTCGCAAGAATAAGTCAACAAGTAGCGCAATAGCTGACGTAATTGGTACAGTTGTTGGCGGCTTTAATCAAGGCCTTACAACCGAGGCAATCATGTGTGACTTATCTAAAGCTTTCGACTCAGCGTCTACTGCCATACTTCTTCGTAAGCTCGAGTTCTATGGAGTGCGGTCCAATGCATAAAAGTTTGCTTCTTATCTTACAAACACAAGGCAGTTTGTTTATTGCGAAGGTAAAAATTCTAACATTATTCCTATAAATAATGGTGTACCGCAGGATCTGTTTTGGGGGTCTCTACTTTTTCTTGTTTATTTTAATGACCTTCCTGGTGCTCTTGTGTATTATTTGCAGATGATACTGCGATCTTATGAAGTAGTGACACATATTTTAATGTTTCACTATTTGATAAAGCTAAAGATTGGTTTTCAGCAAACAAACTGAATGTTAAATGAGTCTAAATCACATCCGATATACGAACTATTAGCTCTATGCCAGTGAAACTGCTAAGTTTAATGCTGAACGATCACATAAATTGGAAAGCACATATTGATACTTTGTGCTCAAAATTATCTTCTCACATATTCGTATTACGACAACTTAAAAATTGCTTGCCTCACGATATTCTAAGATCTGTTTATTTCTCTCTAATAAATAGCCACTTGATTTACAGGATTTTATTTTGGGGGAATTCAACGTTGTTTAAGAGAGACTTCTTCTTGCAAAAATCGGCTATACGCAATATCAGTAATTCCTCACCAAGTACTCATTGTCGGCCATTATTTAAAAAACTAAAAATTGTTCCATTATCCTGTTTGTATAATAAACTAGAGTTATTACTCAACATTCACCGTAACATAAAGGAGCTTAGACACAATTCTGATAATCATAATTATAATTAATATAAGGCATGCTGATGATCTGATCGTCTTGAAATCCATGATTGATAATGCTAAAAATAATTAAAACTTTATAATATTTTAGTAAATAGATTCGCTCAACACAAACTTAACGTAATTAATTTTAAACTTTTTAAAACATTTACCAAGCGTTGCTTAACTGAAAATTGATTTTATAGCGCTGAAGAATATATCAATAAATTGACATTTAAATAAATTTTACATATTCACTTACTGCCTTCTTTTTATATTTTTCATATTTTATTTATATTTGTGACACAACATGTATCTTTTGTATATAAAATTGTAATAAACAATACAATACAATAGTGGGTAGGAAACAAATAGGAAATAAATAAGAAAGATATAGGAGAATATGAGCGAGAGGTATTTTATCAAGAGAGAAGGTACTTCTCTTCACTTAAATTTGAGTTCAGTTGTTCAATATAAAAAAAATATTTATTTAAAACTTTTAGTTTGCAAGAATAGCTAAATTTAAAACTTGAATCTGACGTTATTTTAACTTTCTAGATTACTCCGTGGGCCATGAGAAAGCTTCTAAACTGGGTTAAGGATACTTATGACAACCCAGATGTATTCATCATTGCAAATGGTGTTATAGATGATGGCTCTTCTCTGAATGATGAAATCAGGATAAACTATTACAGGGTACCTTTTTTTCGATTTCGTTGACGTAAATGCTACTGCTTGAAGAACATTTCTGTAAAACTCATCCTCATATGGTAAATTATTTATTTGAATCAAAAATCTTTAAAAAAACAAATAGTCAGCCGACTTTTATGAAAACTTCACTAGTAGAAGCTGTTTTACATTGACAATTTATTGATCAATTAATTGATGAAGTCGCTTCATCAAGAAATTGGACAAGTGTAATGCATCAAATCAGCTGTCAAATAACTTCATCAATTTATTCATCAAGTTCTTGACGAATTAGAGCATGTTCTATTTTTCGTCAATTTCTTCGTGAAGTTCGGAAGTACCAACCCAACAGATTTTCAGCCTCAGATCAGTAATGAGGTTATGTTATTGGAATATGTAAATAATTGTGTGGCATCATGCTAGTTTTGCATTGTTTTTACTGATTTGTTATTTACAAAAACTAATATTTATATAATATGTGTGAGAACGGTACCGCTGTTGTATCACTACAATCATGAGTGGAAAGGTGACATTTTTGAAATTTATTTGCTTCTTTGATTCATTGGTAGAACTGATTCATACGTCAAAAACTTGACAAAGTCTGTAGCAGTGTAAAACCACACTGTTTACCAATAAATTCGTGAATTAATTGATGAAGAACTTCGTCAATTTATTGATGATTAAATTGTCAATGTAAAACAGCTATTAGACATTTAATGAGAAAACGATAATACTTGTCAAAACTAAACAAGTCACATCATCAAAATAAAGTTCATTACTAATCAAACAGGTCTGGTGAGTAAGGAGGGTGAAAGACGACAGTAATCTAATTTTCATGGTGCAAGAACCATGAGTTGTCTCCTCACAACTCTAGTCTCTTTTTGTGAATTCACGCAATTGTTGTAAAACATTGAGGCAAGAATTTAAAATGCACAATCCCATTAATGTCGAAAAAACAGAGAGCATCACTTTGACATTGGATCGAGACTGACGTGGTTTCTTGGGGCGTGGAGGTTCTTTGACAATCCATTGTAATGATTGAACTTTTGTCTCAATGTCGTAGTCATAAACTCAGCTTTCATCTCCCGTTATGATTCTTTGAATTAATGTTTCATTGTCATTGGATTGTCCATGGAGTTGCCGACAAACGTCCATACAATTTTCTTTGTGTTTTTCGGTCATTAAACGATGAACTTTTGCTGCAGCTCGCATTTTCAATTTTTCAGTCAAAATTTCAGGACATGACCCAATTGAGATGCTAACCTTCTCTACGATTTCTGTGACGGATAATCGGCGATTCGCACGCACTAGATCATTGATTTTCTGGGAGTCAACAGTTGAAGTTGAAAGCTTTCCTGAAAACCATTCGTAACATTGCGTACAACCCAGACCATTATCATAAGTTTGTTTCAGAAGTTGAATCGTTTCCGTGTAAGTCTTCCCCAGTTTCACACAAAATTTTACGTTGCATTTTTGTTTTAGAAAATCGCACGTTTCAAAAATCGTCACTAACACTTGAACACATTGCACTCAAATAACAATATCACGAAAATTAAATGAGATATTAACAATCCAAGAACATGTGGTTACTTAGGAGGTTATGCGTAACGCAATGCTGCCAACTGCAGTCACTCAATATCTCCACTAGCGAGTAATTCAAAAAGTTTGGTTATTTTCTGAACAAACCTTGTATAGTAAAATACAAATTTTAAGGTATTTTGTACCGCCGTTATTTCAAATTTAATGCTACATCGCAAACTAATTTTTATAAGCGTGTTAGATTTCAGCCATACCGGCCATAACTAAAAAAAAAATCTTCTTTAAACATGTTGGCTGTTATTGGAAAAATGTGTTCTGACTTCCTCGCGACAACCAGTGGAAAAGGACTGAAAATAAAAACAAAACTCGAACAAAATGTAGTTTTGTTTTTGTTCTGTTCTAGAAAACACAAACAGGACATAAACTCAACTGTCCGTTTAGTGGAAAACTGCCATTAAGGTTGATTCTCAGTATACGTTCCATCTCCGTTCCATTCTGGCTTCGTTCCGTTTACGTAAAATATTATTTGCTGCAAATGAATGTGGATATGCACACCTTCCGTTCCGTTTACATACTGTTTCCAAACAGTACCATGCCATATTGAAGCAAACGAGTTAAGCTAGCTTCTTCATCTAATAAAATAGCAGCTATTATTAAATTTTTGTCAGACCACATTTTGTCAACGCACACTACCTTTTCTTATCTAAACTAAACTGACCTGGTACGGAATATGTGAATAGACATGATCTTAACTAAACGGATATGTCATGGTTATGGAACGGAGATGGAACGTACAGTGAGAATCAACCTTAAGTAGGTACAGCTTAGTACTTAAGTAATGGTGGTACAATCGGTTCTTAAAGGAACTGGCATCATCTAAGAAAGTCAACATGTCAGATTGCCATTTCAACAAGTTTAACGAATTTTCGTAAACAAAGCCAAAAGAACTTATTTCTTTTTCTTGACACATCTACTTTGTATTGTACAGGGTGTTTGGAAAAGTTGGTACAAAAGTTTAGGTGAAAGTAGAGCCAAAAAATAGTAAAAAAAGTTGCTCCTGCCTCCCGAGCACCGTTACTGAGATGGCCCTCCGAAGGAGTCTTATCACTTGGATATTTTTAAAATAACTTTCTCTCTGATTAAGATATTGGAATGAAAACTGTAGGGAATAATCATACCATAAGGGTGTTTAACTATCATAAGTTTCGTCAAAATCGTTGATAAATGAGGATAGTTTTCTAACTACCTTTTAACAGAAATTTTTCGAATTTTCTTTATTCTTTTGAATTATCAAGCAAATAATATTTTTTTATGAATTTGACTTTTTTGAAGAAAAAATGTCCCTACGTTTTTCTAATTGTTAATAATAATTATTTTTTAAATAATGTATGGCTCAGAACAGTACCTTTTTTTGTTAACATTTTCACATAGGCATCTTTCATGGTGATAGTTTCGTTGTAATGATGTGCTATCGTTTAAATTCTTACATTTCTTTATCTTCTTAGTTGTGATCTTCGTGCTTGTACTTCGTCTAAATCATGCCTACGCTTTCTTGGACGGCCAAATTCACGATATCTTGGAGTTAGAGCTCCTAATTAAATCGTTCTTGCATGAATTTTGCAGAAGGTTGCCTTCTATCAGGGAAACGTTGCCGATACTCTTTTTGAGCCGCCAGACCATTTCCATTACAGAAACCATAAATAAAATGCATATCGGCATATTCATGGTTAGTAAAAACATGATGGTTCATTGTTGTAAAAAAATCGAATGAAGTTAAAAGTCATGCACAAAGATCACAACTAATAAGCGTAAGAATTTGAAAGGTAGCACGCGAAAGTGACAATCATTAGTATCATTACAACGAAACATACTACTAGGTATGTGAAAATGTTAAAAAAAGTTACTGTTCCATACATTATTTAAAAAATAATTATTTCTAACTAAACTACGGAGAATTCGAAAAAAAAGTAGGGACATTTTTCTTCAAAAAAGTAGGGACATTTTTCTTCAAAAAAGTCTAATTCATTAAAAAATTTGTTTCATAATTCAAAGAAATAAAAAAATTTCGAAAAATTTTTGCTAAGGATAGTTAGAAAACTATTCTTATTTATAACCGATTTTGATGAAACTTATGATAGTTAAAACCCTTAAGGTATGATTAATACCTACAATTTTCATTCCATTATCTTAAGCAGAAAGTTATTTTAAAAAATATCCAAATGATAAGACTCCTTTGGAGGGCCATATCTCGGTAAGGGTGCTCCGGAGGACCAATATTTATAGGAACTTTTTTTTACTACTTTTGGCTCTACTTTCACCTCCTTAAATTTTGTACAAACTTTTCCAAACACCCTGTATAAGACGCCTATTAAACGTACATCCAATGGCGTTTTACGTTGGGATCATTTTTTGCGTTTATATTAAAAATAACAATTTTTCTCAAAATTAATTGTAAGTCTAAAAGACTTGTCGAGTTATACAGAAATGCTCTTCAAGTTTCTACAATATTACCCGTTTGCTTCTTATTTTTGGCTTTATCCATTTTGAATTATTCATTGAGTTTCTTCACTTTTTGTAAGTACTTATTATTTGTTGAAAAGTTGAAATATTTCACAAATAATAAATCTGTATTAATGAATATTTTTTACATTATTCATCGATATTTTGAGTTTAGGACTACTTGAGTAATGTCAGAAATGCCATGGACGATGGAGTCAATGTAATCGGTTACACGGCGTGGAGTTTTTTGGACAGTTTCCAGTGGTTAGGCGGATACACGTAAGTACACACAATCGATTAAGATTTTTCTAAAAGTAACTACTTCACTAGGTACTACTATCAGTATCGACATTGACAACTCAGCATCTAAATAAAAACTGTTCAATGATTTACAATTTCTAAACAATAAAAACATTGTAAATGTTAAAATTAATAATTCTAAACTTCTATACAGGGGGATTCGCATAAGAATCGACACAGAGTAGGAGAACCGACCAGAGTAGGGGAACCCAAAATATGGTGATTTAACGCAACTTACGTTTATACTAAGTTGCACCCCTGAAAAGTTATAGGCCTTGAAAGACAGGTTTCAAATTTCGAAAAAAATTAATATATCAGTTATACTTGAACTTAGAAAAACCAAATTTGGAACCAAGCGCATTAAACGACAGTAAGAGTTCAATTGAAGCATTTTAAAGGGTTGATAAGGGATGATGAACCATTAAGAAAGAATTTTTTAACCCGTTGCGTTGGCGGACTTTATTTTATGGGGAATTTAATTTTAAAACTTTTCTTACTCCTGTTAGTTTTCAAAAAACTTTGCCGTTTTCCACAAAAACTGTTATTTAAAATTATCGAAAATTCAAAAGTTGGCTATGAATTTATCGTTAGGGACTTTTTAAATCACGAGTATCCAAATAAATGGATTGGAAAAGGAAATAATTGCCCACAAGTTTTGGCCTCCACGATCGCCAGACCTCAACAAATGTGACTTCTTTCTTTGGGAAACGTTAGAAGGAAAGAATTTGTGTATTCCTTCGAGCAGAATTGTGGAATCGCTTTACCGATAAATGCACATTCTTTAGAAACAATCAGCAGTTATTGGATAGAGTAGACTTCAATTTTCAATGAAGAATACATTTATGTCTGAGAGAAAACGGTGATCATTTTGGACAATTTCTATAACTTATCAGTGCAAATTGTATGTTATTTATGTTGTTGGAGTTTGTTTTTCTGTTAAATTATTCTTATTCCAACTCTTTTACCTGATCGTCAAGTGTGACGCTTAAATTTATAGCCAATTCTTGAATTTTCTATGATTTTAAACAACACAGATACAATCAATACCTATTATTAGTTATTCGTGTTTTTGTTGAAAATGACAAAGTTTTTTGAAAACTAACACAAGTAAGAAAAGTTTTTGAATTAAATTCTCGATAAAATAAAGCAATATTTGTCTCAAATTTATGAAAATTTAATGAAAATTTACAACTCCGTTCAACTCAGTTTCTTGTAAAACAAGATTCGTCGGTATAAAAAGATTTTCAAGGTTTGTGAACATTAGTTTTACATACATTTAATTGTTTTGATACACTACGGACACTTCATAATTTGCATGTGTGGAGTGATAAGAATTCTAAAAAAACACGACAACATTGACATTACCTGATAGCCATAGCAATCAACATCTTGTTTTCATCGCCTACTGAACTCAAAGTTGCTACGCAAACCGAAACGTACAAACCTGCAAATAATGCCATTTTTCTCAAGAATGGCTTTCTGCAGGCGATTTTCTCAAGAGACAATATGTTTTTAAAATAAAACGACCTTTTCGATGTTGCTGCCCGTTTTAAAAAATACGATCACTGTAAAAGTTTTGACCGCTACCGCTAAAAGGGAGATGTAACCGGAGAAAACTAACACCCAGGATATCGATTTGACTAAAACTTTAAGAAATAATATGCCATAATAGTCCAAATAAATGTGCCAAATTTTAACGCGATCGGTAAAAGGCTTATGAAGTTATTAATTAAATTAGTTTTATTTTTGACAACTCTGAAGGGCTGTAACTCAAAAACCAAAAAGTTTTCATTACACTTTTTTTCGTAGATGGTATTTATCTATCGTCGTGAATATGCAGTCAAACGTTGTCGGTGAAATTTGCGGACACCCTGTATATAAAATGTTGGAAAATATTGAGTTCAAAGGACTATTAACTGCTTATTCCTAATAATTTCTTAATAAGAGGCACCTTGTTGGCCCATCTTGAAATATATTTTTATATAGTATATTCGAACACAAGCAGATTTTTTTAAGAAGAATAACTTCTTTTTATAAAACGAATTGTTTTCCCTCTTTTCAACTTCATCCGTGGAGACGCTATCTATATTAATGTCACTCTTTTTTCAGTGAAAGATACGGTTTTTATTATGTCGACTTTGAAAGCGAAAATCGGACAAGAACGCCAAAAGGTTCCGTTGAGTATTTCAAGAAAGTTATTTCAACTCGCTGCTTGGTGGATACATGTGATGAAACGTAAATTGATATTTTATAGCACGGTTTTGTAAGAAATAAATATGAGGAACTGTTATTACTTATTTTGTGTTATAACATAAATATATTTATAATATATTGTAAGGTTGCATTGTATGTATTTCCATAAATTTAAACCGAAATATGGTCTTTATAACAAAAATAAACACAGAAATATTAAATTAAATGAGTGGATTTTTGTTCTTACCACTTTAGACTTTCAACATTTAATTTAGCTCAACTCAAGTACAGTATTAAATGTAACAAAAAAATGAATGAAGAAAAAAAGGTGGAGGACACTTTTCCCGTGACTGCCCTGTGTACTATGTTATATTAAACAATTATTACTATAAAGGTATTACAATTGTACCTATTAGAACTCCTTTACTCCGACCTTAAGAAGATTCGTGATATCATATATCAAATTCCCAGAAAATTGCATATCTTCGTGATGCCATGACAGTTCAAAATTCCTTATAACTTGAAAAAAAAAGAAATCACATATAACTTAATCAATATGAAGTTAAGAAGAGTCTCTTAATAAATACAAGTATGTAAATGCCACTGAATACAGCGCAACTTAAAAATTTAAGACTTACGAACTTATCCGAAACACTTTGACGATATGTGCATCCTTAAATGGAGTCGATATCTCTAAAACAGTTATACTTAATAAAAGTAGTAGATTTCGGGTATAAACTGAGCGATTTCCCGATCGACACATGCCAAATCATGAGACTTTTACAACAGAGGTGCAACGTGGACGTGATACCTACTGGCAATTTATATACAAATCGTGGACGATATAGTGACCCCGGGCGACCACTATGTATTTTAGCACCTGAAGAACAAATGTTGAATAAGGTCCGTGAAAATCCGCGAATAAGTACAAGGCAGATTGCTGGACAGGTGCCTGGAATATCACAATCAACGGTGTGGTGTTGACTACACGAAGCTCAGTTATACCCATATCATATCCAACGTGTTCAAACACTGTTACCAGCGGAGTGTCCATTGCGAGTTAGGTTTTGTGAGTGGTTGTACAGCAAAATGCTGAAAATCCTCAATTTACTGCTGATGTACCTACTAGTTACAGATGAAGCTTTATTTACTAGAAATGGAATATAAAACATTGATAATACACACGTTTGGGAACTCGAAAAACCACACGCAATTGAACGAGATCACTTCTAACCCGTTTTTCACTAAAAAACGAGCGTTCAAATAAAAACGTGGTCGAAGTTGGCTCTGACACATTGGACGTAGGGAGTAGCTTATAGCGACCAACTTAACCTCATTTCTCAACGAACTGTATAGCAGCTGTCAGTTTCAATAACGTTAATGACTATATAACTTTATTTTAAAGAATAATCGTGATAACAATAACAAACAATTAAAGGAGCTTTTTTTAACACTGTGTGGCAGGTACCGACTGATACTCCCACCATTTGTGATAAAACACGTACAGAAGTTCTTGGCGCATTTTCCATTATTTGTTGGACATTTTCTTTTAATTCTTCAGTCCGCTTTTTAGGTCGGCCGCTTCCATCTTTTCTTGTTACACTGCCCGTTTCACGAAAAACATTAACACAACGCTGAACTGCACTTTGAAAAATTTGTACTCAACGACCCCGGGAAGTTGATTTTGAAATTCTATAAAACATTCCTCAATAGAATACTTCCATATTTCATCAATCTTGCGTCCATTTCTAAAGTAGGCCTCTATGATAAACACTTTTTGTTCTTGAGAAAACACCATTTTAAACGCTTTTTAAAACGAAAATATTCAAATTGATAGCGGCGATATAGCGCTTTGACAGATGACATTTAAGTTCATTTGCTATACGCTACGCCCTACGTCCAAATTTTCAGAACCAACTTGACCACGTTTTTATTTGAACGCTCGTTATTTGGGCAGGAATTGTTAATGAGCGCCTAATTGGACCATTCACATTGCCCAATCGTATGGACGGTTTACAATATCTCGAATTTCTTCGCAATGACTTGCCCGCCCTTCTTGAATATGTACCCCTATCTGTCCGACAGCGCATGTGGTTTTTACATGATGGGGCACCTCCTCACTTTTAGCTAAATTTTCGAGATTATCTCCATCACGTGCACGGAGTACGGTGGATTGGATGGAGTGGACCGGTGACATGGTCTCTGTGAGTGTAACAAAATTTTATTCATTTTAAAAATACGTTACTTTGCTCAGATCTATCTTTAAGTTTATTTTAAAGTAAAAACGCTGCAAATATTTTTTGCACCGATATCGGTTTAATCACAGAACTTCGGAGTTTTTTTTCCGTACGTCACCACTTTGCATTGTCACTCCATTACAGTAGACCAAATTCCAGCGAGGAGCAATTAAATACTTTTAAAAAGTTTTCAGAGTGCATATATTAATTTTTCTTTGCATTACCATATTTGCTCATGTATGTTGAACATTCCCATTTTTTTTTTTCGGATAAGTTCCGAATCACCCCGTATATAACGCTGATTTAGGTACGAATGATGAATTAACAGAGTTCATTTGCAACTGCAGAAAATCTTGAATCTTGTCATCTATTACAATCTATTTTATTAAGGCTGTTGTTATTTAGGAATCAGTCAAAAATAGGACTCAATAGTAGTAACAAATCCTTGGAGTAAGTCAAGAAATTCCTAAAAGAGCCATGGATTTTTTTCTCAAAATTTGGAAATACTCGTATTTCTCCAAAATTGACAAATGTAGGTATCAACAGTCTCTATCAGTAGAAGAAAAATCAAGCTGAAATTCTATAATATAGAGGACGTTACATTTAAAAAATTAAAGTTGAATAGAAGATAGGCTGAGCTAAACACTTTGTATAACTGGAAACATTTTTAGTAAATCTGCTACTCGGTACAATTCATTTTTAAGATATTTCTTGAAATCAATATTATGAGAGCTGGTCTGTAACAACCTGCATAGAGTAGTCTCGGTAGGTAATAATATCAGATAGCGGCCCCAGAAAGGTATTTTGAAAATGACTTGTGTGGTAACATCGGCGATATATAAATCTACCATTGACACAAATTCAGCCTCACATCTCGCTGCGTTCTGGTGATAATTGATCAAATAGACGCTAGAGCGGGTATTTTTCAAAATTGTTTTTTCGAAACCTATTGCAGCTGCCATAATAAAACAAAAACTGTTCGTTAGACAAAACATTATTCTACATTATATATTTTTTTATAGAATTTTTCTGTCTTGTTTACTATTAAAAAAAATAAAAATATTTTTTTCGAGATATTATTCTTAGTTCACGCAGGGGTACAATCACAGAAAAAATATATAATGTAGCTTACTATGTCTAGTATTACTACCAAAAAGTGCATAAATATAAAATGGGTGCAACACTATCAAAAAAAATAAAAACTTCTTATGACCATCTTAGGTAC